CATTTTATAAAGGAAATAGCTCTGCTCAAGAAGCAACTAATATTTTGGGTAACTTTCAAAGGGCATCCACTTTCTAGCCCCCAACATGGCATATTCTATTAATTTGCCAGTCTTTGATTTTCTTGGTGCATCACTCCCCATAGTTACCATTAGTGTCCCATTACTCTTCACTTACCCATGCTTCAGAGCCTTTCCTGTCTCCAACATGTGTTCAGTATTGACCATTTACTCTCCAAGTGCACTTCCCATTTACTCATAGCTCCCCTGCATTGGAAGGAATGTAAGAGAGAACTTAATATTTTTTTTAAAAAAATGGGGTTATCAAGAAGAATTATTTTTGTTCCCACTTTAGTTTCTGAAGGTAATAGCAGAAGTTATTTATTGATTATCAGTAATCTAGGGCATGATTTCTATTTCATTGACTGACTAAAATACCTATACATTGAAGAAAATTGCAAGGTGCTCTTCCACAGTATTATTTTCCAATATTAAATATCAGTTTCTAAATATGGGCACGCTGGCTAAGCAATAAGGGAGCAAGTAGTCAAACATACCTTGAAGGCATCAATTCTGAATGACTGTTTTAGAATATTTTGGGGGCTTATGTGGAATGCTGGTCAATCCTGTTGAATTTTCTTGTTATCTAAAATGAATTATAGTCTACACTCTTATGTGACTTTGCAGGAGGAACGGAAAGAAAATTTCTGGGAATATGGGGAGGCAGTAGAGCTAATGAGATATACTAAGGTGGGATTTTGTTGGTAAATGGAAGAAGTATTTGGAAAGATTGAGATCTGACACGCCAATGGGTTATGCCACAGTGGAATATTTCTGGTTAGAATAATTGATGAAAGGTTTTAAAGATTAATCTTTCTGTATTCTGTTTTTAAGTTATGATCATTTTGTTTTTTATATTATACAGCTATGATTCCATGTGGAACATAGTGATATATAAATAAAATGAATGAAAAGTAAATAAGTACAAGTATCACTCAGAATGGTGTTTCAACCTGCTAAACCAAGGCTGAACCAAAACTGTTCCCAAGAACTTGTAGACTGCAGTGATCTTTCCTAGACATTAAATAAAATAGTTTTTTCTATATCATGCACAGCTCTAGTATGCATATTTTTCTTCTGAACAAGAAAGCCCCATATTAATTCATTAATTTAGCGTGTTATAATCCAGATAATATTATTTCTAATGTTTTGCTTTAATCCTTGGTATTTCCTTTTTCTCTGGCTGACACACATAATCAATGAGATGTATAATATAGCCCTAATCCCTTTTTTCCCTAATTTCTCATTTCCAGTTTAAATAAGTGTATTCTCTGCAACAGCAGGTTGATCACAACACAGCTAATGTTTATATTTGTTGATATTAGGAGCAACTATTTTTTGTGCAAAAGTGAGTTGTCTGACCATTGAAGATGAAGATTCTTTCTTTGAAGTTCTTCCTTATTTCTCTGAATGTGGCTTTCTTTCCACAAGAAAGCTGACTAATTTTACCATATCCCTGAAGTCTCTAAATTTTCTGTCTCCATCACTTTTACAAGTCAGCTATTTTGGCCTCAAATGAACAACCTTGCCTTCTTTGCCATCACTACGCAATTCCACAAAGGCACGTTCAGAACTTTGTTATATATGAAAGATATTTTGCAAATGGTCGTAACTATTAAAGAGACATGTTCTCACCTTTGTATTCAATTTCATTATGACTGTCCCTGTAGTAGCTTCGGGGGACCTTCTTTTTTCCCCCTCTGAGATACTGAATTATTCCTTCATTTCCCTTTTTTTTCCTTGTTCCTTTCTGTTTTTTGCCAAGAATATTCATGGACATGCCTATGAAATTGATGTTTATTTATTTAATATCAGGGAATTTTATTTCATATCAGTTAATATTGGGTAGACCAATGGATAACTTCACTTGCTACAGTAGATACCTATTGTACAGCAAGCAGTTTATGAAAACAATTGGGAAACAAATTACCATTAACTGACATAGTCATTACCACCTCTGTCTTGGAATGGAATATTATAATAGATATGTGTTTTCATTATCAACCTTTTATCAGCATATAGTAAGGTTGCTCATACCAAGTACAGGTGGCATTGTAAAAGCAGATTTTCATGGAAATAGATGCTTGAGCAGTGTTTTCAACTCTCATGACAACTCTGTTCTATTTCTAGACTGCCCATCTTGTTACTGACTGCTAAATTTGCTTTTCAAATGAGGAAGTCACCAAACTATTTCAGTTTCTATTAGCCTGGCTATTACATTGTTTTTCATGAGTCTAGAGATACCTTTGACATTGACATGGCTATTATTACTTTGATATTATTTATTTCAGTGCCACTATAAGGTTTCAAGAATATTAGGCATGCAATTCTCTAGACAAGAATCAGGTCTTATGCATTAGTTAATGGGATATAGATATCCAATATTAAACAGACAAATTCCTTGTGTCTAAAATTGATTGATGAATTAAGTCCATCAAGTTGGTATTGACTCTTAGAGACCACATAGATAGATTTTCTCTCTTCCTAAACTTCAGGTCTTCCAACTATGCACTCATTGCAACTGAACTTAGTCCATGAGTCTTGTTGCTGGTAATCCTCCTTTTCACTCCACTTCTACCTTTCCTAGTATCACAGCCTTCTCCAATAATGTGTCCAAAGTAGTATAATTTAAGCCTGGCCATTTGTGCACTGAGGGAGAATTTTGGGTTGATTTGTTTGATAATCCATTCGTTTTAACTCTGCACACTATTCTGGAATCCACAGCTGTTGTGGAATATATGTGGAATAGCCTTGACATTTATTTGAGGATAAACAATATTTTATTTTCAATAATGCATATTTATTTATTCAATTTCTATATCTGCCCATCTCAATCAATGGCTCCAAACAGCTTAAAATTCAAAAGAAAAAAATATTGTAATTAAAAAGACTGAAAACATTTTTTAAAAATGAAAATGATGAAAACACTAAAAACACCTATATTTAATATACGTGAGAACAAAATACTTGACCAGTTAGCAATACAGCCAGGAAACAGGGTCCTTAACACATTCATAACACATATGATTAGTTATTTTTGTTAGTTGTTTAGACACATTTTTGGAGGTGTGAGTGTATGTGGGTGTGTATGTGCTTATTACTGGTGACCTTTACTCCAAGAAATTCTGATTAAATGTATGAAAACAAAAGCAAATTGCTTTTGTTATAGCAGTTTTAATATACCAGGGGATGTAGTCCTCATATTGTTAAGCATGACAGTGATAGGGAATGGGGATAAGAGAAATGTGTTTCATAATAAATATAGGGTGACACATTTATCTGAAATGTAAAAGTGCATAAGACTATTAAATCCAGGATCGCAAATTAGTTACAGTAGCTGCACCATTTCTTGTGGAAGAGGAAATTCTATATGATCATGGCCATCTCCTGTCATATAGCATACCACAGCTTTTTATTTGTAAATAGTATATATAATGCATTCTTCAGTAATCTGCTGTCTTACACATATATTTATCCAGGATACATGTTTTAATGAATACAGTGCACGTAGCTTACTAACTAGATTTCTTTAATCTGCTTTTTAAAGTAAACTATATAATATAATTATGTAAAAGTGATAATACAACATTGTACATTTGTACTTAGTTTTATATTTCAGTCCAATTACTACATAAACCCAAAAAACAATAGACTTTTTATATCGGTTTCATATAAATATTTATATATAAAATGATGCTTTGGGAGCATCTTGTTATATTATAAAACCTATACCCTGAAAAAACAGATCACCATATATATATATGGTGATATATATTATGATATATAAGATCTTCACCCAGGTCTATGGTCAGGGAGAATCACTTCATTGCTTTTACCATATTTTGTCTTTATCTTTTATGTTTTATTGCAATTCATTTAATTGTTGAAATCTGCCCAAATTTATTGAGAGTGGGAATTTAATACATTATTATTATTTGCAAAATAATATGCAGTAACACATTTTTCTTCTTTCATCAATTTTGAATTCTTCTACATAGACACATTAAATTAATTTATCATTTAAAGAGCAATTTCTCTGAAACCACAAAGGGTAACTGATTCATCATCAATCATACTGGCTTTCTAAATAAAAAATGTATCATATTTAGGTGGTATTAAATTCAAAGGTCTCTGAGTCCTCTTCTAAGATTCACGCTTAATTTGTTCGTATCTCCTATTCTTTTAATGAAAAAAAATGCCTGTTATCCATGTAGAAGAACTGGAGAAGCAATTTTTTTTTAATGGTTAAGGCGCCAGGCTAGAAGCCAGGAATCTGTGAGTTCTAGTCCTTCTTTAGGCATGAAAGCCAGGTGGGTGACTTTGGGCCAGTCACTTTCTCTTAGCCCAATTTACCTCACAGGGGTTGTTGTTGTAGGGGAAATGGAACAGATGGAGTATTGCATGTGTTCACCACCTTGAATTATTTATAAAATAATAAAGGTGGAATATAAATAAGCAAGCAAGAATTGTTTAGCTGCAGCAAGCAAGTCTCATTGCAAAACACCAACATTTTTGTAAGGCAAATATGCGAATTTGACTTTAATCCAATGTACTGATTTGCTCACAAACTATTTCTACAATTTGGTGCGGTCTAAATCAGAATATTCATTTGGAATAGTCTGTTTTCTTTTGTATTTGTGGCATATTTCATTGAAAAATATTGCCTCGTTCCATGTGTAGGCTTTATGGGTGCAAACTCTCCTAAGAAAATTAATTACAGGTAAGTGGTGTCGTTTTGTGAATAGAGTTGAAATATTACATCTAAATGCTCTGTGCTTTTTAAACCTTTCTCAAATCTCAGAAAATGTTTGCATCTGGGAATGAGCAAAGGTTCTGACCAGTTCTTATTATGCTGTAAGCACATCATCATCCCTTAACTGATCTGCTTTTCCTTGAATCTGGGAGTCAGAAATCCCTTTTTCTCTTCTGTTTTTCTGCTGCAGAAATTCCCAACATTCCCATTTTGTGGGCTCCAGAGAGGGGTAAGCAATATCTTCAATCCCAGCCAATGATTTCTAATCCAGTTCATTGCTAGTATTTTTGTTTGTTTTATTTTGGCATCATTTATAAAAACAATTTTAGATGCGTACTCATTTTTAAAATTTCCTTGTGGAGTCTTATGTTCTTAATTTTGTTTATTGGAGGATTCCGAGATCTCCATCAGGCATTAAGGCTTAGCCTCATCTCCATTTGTGTTCTGTATTCTTGTGAATTTTCATATAGCTATGTTGCCCTATATTATTTATTAGAACAAGAGCATCCAAATTCTGTGGTTCTTTTGCTTACAGTAATCTTACTTACCACAATAATTGTGTATTAACAGTCCCAATAGCTATTCAAGAGCTTTTTTTTTCTTCCTTGGCAGCTGCTTTTTCTAATCATAAATGGGCATGACCCTATTCAATCTTTGCTTTAAAAAAAATGATATAGCTCTCATTGCTTTCTTTCTGCTTTACCTACTTGCTGGCTACCTGGCATTGCAATGCACTGTTTGCTGCTTGATTGCCTGGAATTGGTCTTCTTTACCTTTGATTGTAGTATTTACTTAACATATTGCCCATGAGTTCTGGCTGCCACTTATATGTGACTATTGATGGATACTCCCAGTTACCTCTTGTCAAACCTTTCCCCTCTTTTCATTGTTTCCAATGATATTATGCATCTGCTGACTTCATTGAATTGCTGTCCTGAAGATTTGTGCATCTGCTAATTGATCCTGCTCTGTCAATTTGCTATGTCTGCCTTTTTTTCTTGCCTTGTCTGTTTGACCACTAGCTTATGTTGATCACATGATACCCTTAGAATTTGACTGCACATTAGTACTGCCATTTCTATGCAATCCCAATCATTTGCTGATTATGTGCTCTTGTTTATATACTGCTTACTCTTCCATCAAAAAATTAAAAATGTGAAGAAGAGAAAAATGTTTTGATCTGGCTCCAGTTTACCCTTATTCAGTACCATATGCTTGGATTTTTAAAATGTATCTTTATTGTTTTTAATCAGAATATTGGGTCTGAACCCTTACAACGTTCAGAGTAGATCTCTCACACTGTATAGCTTTTTCTTTACTAAATTACCTGGTAAGACTAGGTTATGTCATGATATATATATATATATATATATATATATATATATATATATATATATATATATATATATATATATATATATATATATATATATATATAAGGATTTGCAGCAGGAAGATTTGATGTTTAAAAACAGTACAAAATGGGGATGCTTTCCACTGGGCTATATAAAAGGAAAAGGAAAATAAAATAAATCTTTCTTGACTACATTTGCTTTAGTATTTATGTTTGTACTAATCAGTTATGTTCTTGGACTAACATGAGTGAGAGATTAACAGGTCCTAATTATTGTTCTAGTTAACAAAGTGTATAGTCTACAAAAAGTCAGAAATAAACTATAGAAAAATAGCCCTGAAATGCTAAGATACTTTTAGAGAAAAGCTAGAAAGGACTCTCAATGAAATAGTTGATGTAATTCCATCATATATCATCTATTTTTTTTAGAGATACTATTTCATTTGGTCTACTTTTTTAAAGAGAATTGTAAGGAAAACTTTTTACTGAATACTCTGAGCATTATATTTTATTTAAGAAAAAATCTAGAAGGGATTAGCTATTCAAAAGACAGTAACACGCTCTTTAAAATATCTTCTGGCAACTTTCCATGCAGTATTCCAAGAAGATGCAAGGACCTTCTGAGAAAGAACCCCAACTTCAAAGTAGGTCTTTCTCCTTAGTCTCAATATTAAGATTTCACACAGTTGAAATTGCCTGGGAATTTTTCTCTTAATCTTCTATAAAAATACAGTATAATCTCTGATTTGACATAAATTTCCACTCTCACATTGTCATTCAACTAATAGAGAATCTTGTTTCCTGAACCATGTTTTGATTGGCTTCATATTAAATAAAGTATATTTAAATTGCTGGTAGCAGTGACTTCCAATATAGCAAGACAACTATTGTACATCTGGTTTTGCTTTTTTCTGATATTAATAATTTAAAATGGACACAAATTCCATGTAGTAAAACTGGGAAACATTCTTGAAGAATTCTAATCCTATTCTGGTTTCTTAGAAACCTTCTGTTTGCTGCAGCATTTTTTCTAAATTAAATCACAAATATCAAAATTCTTGCCTATAATTTGAAGCTTTCCTGACAGTTTTCATTTTATTAGAATTCCAACTCAGACATTAAGTAAAACACACATTTGTGAATTTTGAGGTTATCCTTTATTGCATTTTTTTCTGTTTGCAACTTCTTTCACAGTTTGAATAGATTTTTTGTCTTGTTGTTCGTGATGTTCAATTCTTAATGAAATTCTGTTTTTGACTTTTCTTTCTATTTGAAAAACACTTCGTTTTGCCCTTTGACTTATGTATGACATTTCAATTGTATTTTAAAACTGTCGATCAAATGGATGAATTAAATTATAATTCTTCATCTGGAATCTTTTAGCATCACTTTCAAGTTTCTCTATTATACGTATGAGATTTTAATTTTGGGAGGAAGGAGATTGGCAGTACTCTAATTAATTTCTTCCCAGTAAAACTAAAACAAGAATGCTGAGTTACTTGCAACATTTTATTCTCTTACTATTAAAGCAGAATATTAATTTTTATTTTTTATATGCATCCTCATTCCACCTTACCTCAGTTTAAGAACTGCAAAATTAAGGATTCAGTATATCAATTTCTTCTGGAGTCTTACCACTTTAGTTGAGATTTTTAAATGAGGTCTTTGAAATACAAATTAAAAATTCTCCAGTGGAAAATCCCCTTATCTTTAGTTTTGCTATTCAGTTTAGCTAAACGTCTAAGAATCACACAAAGCCACATTTGCAAGGATTTTTAATTATATCTAGAAAATTAATTTGTATGTTTGAAACTGAGTTTTATACTCTTGTGTAGAATTAGTGTATTACTGGATTTATTACAGGCAAATTGATTTGCCAATACAGAAATTACAAACTTAATACTTCAGATTACATTATACTACTGTCAGGATTCCATATTATTTATGTGTACAGTTTGTAATTTTTCCTCTAAGTGTGTTTTTGTACATATAAATGATGTGATAGGGCAATAATGTAATTCCTATAATTTTTTATTTGTTTATTTATTTGATGTTTGTTTGTTTTATATGGCTGTCATCTCAAACAAATGATTCTTGGTGGTGAACAACCATTAAAATTTATTAAAACCAAATATGTATGTGTATGTATATGTATATATAGCAGCTGAGAAAATTACATGTATGTTAGCAAGATCAAGAGTAATGGATGAGATTGATTTTAACTTTTATGAGATGTTATTTTAGAATTTATTGTTATTTCTATGGTTTTAATGCTGTTAATTGTCAGTTACATTTTTACTATTTCATGTAAACCATTTTTTCTTAGGAGCATAGTAGAATACAAATCCTAATAAATAAATATATAATATAATATAATATAATCACTGAAGTTTTATAATAGCTTTTGTAAGTCAGAAAATACACATAAAAATAATTGTACATCAAATTTAATAGATTGTTCTTTCCTCTTTAACTAGGTACAACTAATTTTGCCAAGCCATGACTTCCAGTCACTATCAGTTTGCTCCCTGCAAATCTCATGGTACCAGTGGCAAGTTAATTGGTGTAGTCCAGTGATGGTGAACCTTTTAGAGACGAGTGCCCAAACTGCAATCCAAAACTCACTTATGTATCACGGGGTGCTGGGTGGATGTGGCCCACTGGGTGAGTGTGGCCCAGGGTGGGCATGGCCACCTCGATGTTCTCCTGGGGAGGGATGCCTGTGGGGGCCAGGCAGGGTTGGGGGAGATCCAGGGGGTCTCTGGTGGGTGGGGCAGTGGGCAGGAGGCTCATTCTGTGGGGTAAGGCAAGGTGAGGGAGGCGGCAGGGTGGGGTTAGGGTTAGGCTGCCGCTGCTTTCCCCCCAGGACTGCTCATACCCAATGGCGAAGGTGGAGTTTGGGAGTCAGTGGCAGGATGTAGCCCAGGTGTGGCCCAGCAGCAGCAGCAAAGGTCGCCCTTCCCACTCAAGTGGCCACCAGCATCTCCTCAGCTCCATCCAAGTTGAAGAAAGCGGAGGCACAACAGCAGGATTGCTCTCAATATGATGGGCGCACACGAGCAAGCAACACACAAAACTCTTATTGTTTGAGAGCAATCCCGCTGCTGCACCTCCGCTTTCAATTTGGACGAAACCAAGTTACCCAAGCCATTGCACTGCACTGCCTGCCTCTCCCTCGTGCCTCGTGCCAGCACCGCCAGCAGCTTGCTCAGGTCCATTAGGTTGCTGCCGCCAAGGAGAAGAGTGGTGAGGTTTTGTGCCAGCCAGCTGGCCAGGCAACAATTAGGTCAGGGGATGGTGGCTGGCTGGCTGGGGAGGGGAATCATGGCTGCTTGGGGGGATCTGCCAAGTCTCAGGGCAGCAGCATTGGCAACTCCCCCCACCTGGCCCATTTTCCCAGCTCTGTTACTGGTAGCAGCTCCCTCAGCAAACACCCCACAGCCCTCACCATCAAGTTTCCATTGCACAAGCTTCCTGGAGCTGAGGAGAAGTGCAGTTACTGAGCCACCAGGTGGGTCTGGTGGGCAGCGTTGCCTTCCGCTTTTCCTGCTGCAGCAGTGTTGCTGGTGTTGTCCTCTTGAGAAGAGGGCACGGAGATTGGTTGGCGGCCATGCCACAAATGTTCATATTAGTAAAGTTGGAAGGGACCTTGGAGGTCATCTAGTCCAACCCCCTGCTCGGGCAGGAAACCCTACACCATTTCGGACAAATGGCTGTCCAGTCTCTTCTTAAAAACTTCCAGTGTTGGAGCATTTACTGCTTCTGGAGGCAAGCTGTTCCACTGATTAATTGTTATCACTGTCAGGAAGTTTCTCCTTAGTTCTAGGTTGCTTCTCTCCTTGATGAGTTTCCACCCGTTGCTTCTTGTCCTGCCTTCAGGTGCTTTGGAAAATAGCTTAATTCCCTCTTCTTTATGGCAGCCCTGAGATATTGGAATACTGCTATCATGTCCCCCCTTGTCCTTCTCTTCGTTAAACTAGACATACCCAATTCTAGCAACCGTTCCTTATATGTTTTAGCCTCCAGTCCCCTAATCATCTTTGTTGCTCTTCTCTGTACTCTGTCTAGAGTCTCAACATCTTTTTTACATCGTGGTGACCAAAACTGGATGCAGTATTCCAAGTGTGGCCTTACCAAGGCATTGAAGAGTGGTATTAATACTTCAAGTGATCTTGATTCTATCCCTCTGTTAATGCAGCCTAGCACTGTGTTGGCCTTTTTGGCAGCTGCAGCACACTGCTGGCTCATATTTAGGTGATTGTCTACTAGGACTCCGAGGTCCCTCTCACAGTTACTACTATTGAGCACGGTGCCACTTATGCTGTACTTGTGCGTTTGGTTTTTCTTGCCTAAATGTAGAACCTTGCTTTTTTCACCATTGAATTTCATTTTGTTAGTTAGTGCCCAGTGTTCAAGTCTGTCCAGATCCTTCTGTATCTGAAGCCTGTCTGCTGGAGTGTTGGCTATTCCTGCCAGCTTGGTGTCGTCTGCAAATTTGATGAGTTCCCCATCTATCCCTTCATCCAAATCGTTGATGAAAATGTTGAAGAGTACTGGGCCCAGAACAGAGCCCTGGGGCACCCCACTACACACTTCCCTCGATATAGATGCAGTTCCATTGAGGACCACTCGCTGAGTACGGCCGGTCAGCCAGCTATGGATCCATCTGGTGGTGGTTCTGTCTACCCCACATTTTTCTATCTTGTGGGGATTGATCATCCCCCCAACCCCACCACTGTCAAAGGAGGAGGAGGAATGGGGAGAAAAAAGAGGGAAATTGGCCAAGCCGGCCAAGCATTGAAGCCCCGCCCAAAAAAATGGAGTCTCTTTGCGAGCCTGCCTAGCTCTCATCAGCCTTGCTCTCCACAGTGTGCTGCAACTGATCCGAGGTATGGAGAGCACGGCTGACGGGTGAGCGCATAGCATATGCGTACACAGACTCCGCTCTTTTCAGCGGCACTTCTGATCAGCTGCAGCAACCCGAACCCCATCGCTGTCAAAGGAAAAAAGCAGAGTCTATGTGTGCTCCTGCCTTGCCTGTATCAACCAGGCTCTCCATGGTGTGTTGCAGCTGATCAGAAGTGTGGCCGAAAACAGCAGAGTCTGTATGGGCATCTGTTATGCATTCACCCATTACCCCAATTGGCACCATGGCCCCCCAATCTCAGCCAGGATTGTGTGCCTCCCCCCATCTCTTCTGGGCCTGGGCAGCCATGATGCCGATGGGGATCTAGTTTTCCCACTTGGGATGGCCTTTTGCCTGCTGGGCATAGGCGTGCACCTCTACCTGGGGCTTGCTAGCTGGCCGCTTCATCTCATTTGTGCTGGGCAGGGCTGGCGCTCTGGGCACTAGTGGCCTAATGGACCTGCGTGAGCTGCTGTCAGCAGTAGCATGCGTGCCCACAGAAATGGCTCTGTGTGCTGCCTGTGGCACGCATGCCATAGGTTCACCACAATGGGTGTAGTCTTTACTCTTGCCATGTTAAACTTTGTATGGTGCATGTTTCAGCCAAGGTTTGATGCATTTAGATATTTTTAACAAAACTTGCTTGAAATTTCTCTCCTTAATAATTTGGTATTTGTATTGCCTTAAGTTAACCTAGTCTATTGATAATGCTATTATCAGCGCTGTTTTGCCTTTCAG